TAGCCTCCTGGAAACACTGGCATCAAGCATGTCTAAACCATTGTTTGAAGTCATCAACAAGAACGGTGGAGCTACTCATTACTGAGTCCTTTTTTTGACACTTTGATTTCTGTTTTGGGGGGTTTCTGGGTTTTTTTGAGCTATGGTCAAACTTTTGATCAGCTGAAAAAATCATGTTTGAGTGTAAATGCAGTTTTCAGAAAACTCCCTGCTCAAAAGTTCTTGTCAATTGCACTGATTTCTTCTTTTAACATTGTGAAGCTCTACTTAGAACCTTCTTAAGATCCAATAGTGCAAAATGCAAATTCTTGCACTTTTTTGACTGGTCTTAAGATTTTGATCAGGAGTGTATTTCATTTAAAAATAGACCATTTAAAACATATAAATATTGAGATTTGCTGAGCTTCCATCTCTGGTTATTCCTTCATTTATCCGTCATATCCGAGAAATCTTATCAGTCTACATTCACACGTCTCTGCTGCTCTACCTCTGCTCTACAATCAAACACTGAGTGAAGGAGGAAGGCTGCAGAAGAAGAGTGTTGACTTACTGGTGTTACAGTTTATCCTGACACAGTCTAGACGGGGGAGGGGAGAACAAGTGACAGATGAAATCGCATCCTTCAAGGTTACAGCTGCAGACATCCAAAAAAGCAAATAAAGCCACCTTCCGGGGACGGGCACATGACGTCAGCGGCCATTTTCACCAATTTGGAAGCTCATGGTTGGTGAGAATTCTGTATCTAAAATTAATGTAGTAGTATTACTTTATTGTAAATATTTTGCTAATACATTTGTTTGGCAGACGTCAAAATGGTCGCTTGCAGTTCAATGGCCACATCGATTTTTCAACCCGGCTATCAGAGCCTCAAATGTTGGTCTACAAAGCGCTATGGGGGTGACAACTTCCGGGAATAATGAGCTTCTATTTATTATGTGTTTTACTGACAATAATAGGAATATAATAGAAAAGTGAGGCTTCATTTGTCTGAAGCAGGTCAAAATCCATGTGACCAGGATATTCATGTGCCGTCAACCGCAACAGAAAAGTGGGAGCAAACAGCCTTGTGCCACGAAACACCAGCACTGCTGAAGGTCCTGAAGACCCTCCTCACAGGGTGTCCTAAGTTATGCAAAACTTGTCTCATAAATTACACTGGCTGCAGATTAGGAGGGGAAAATAACGTAAAGAACCACTTAAGAAATGGACTACAAATGTTTTGTTTTTGTGGCCCTGACTACAAAAATCCCAGATTTTTTTTCTACTATTTGAAAAGAATTTACTCCATAGGTTGTAAATAAAGACGAATGACGCCTCTCAGTGTTTTGTATAAAGTGAATCTAAAATATGTTTTCACGCACTGTCATTGTTGGATTTGTTGGAAACAGAATTGGCAAATTTGGAATGTGGGGCTGTACCTTTAATATGAAAATCCCACTCGCACACCTGCACACAACTGAAGTATYACTTGCTCTTTTTGAAGAATTAATAACTTGTTGCAATTAAACAAATAGTGATATAATAAATACTTGAACATAAACACATAAGGTACAACCTATGTAATTCGACAAGTTAAGCACTAAACAAATGCTTCACTAGAGGCATATATATTATTTTATTTATGTATTTATTTTGGCAGGAGTATGTCCCGTTCATTTACATGGATGCAGGACTTAATTTTTTTTACTCGCTCCAGCTTAAAAGGGAGAACTCATTTTGCCTTGGCTTCAACTTCCTGGTGCATGTAGGTTCTCTTTCCATTAGCCTAAATACTTGTGACAGTATATGGAAATGATGACATTTATGCCATATAAAAGTTAAAAAAAAGATGTACATCGGGAGCATGGCTAAAAATTATTATTATTTTCTTTTTTTRTTATCATTAATTTCCTTTCAATCAGCACACAACAAGCATTCACTAGTAAAGAAAATGTCAGCCAGGTGTAGAAAACTAGCAAAACTTGCTTTGTTGTTGTGTTTTCCATTGTGCAGGCCAATAGTGAGCAAGTGCAAAGTTAGATAAGTCATTGTTTCTTGCATTATCCATATTTTAAACCATTACGTATATATATACCAAAAATCTCAGCTATGAACTGTTTTCCAAAAAYGTCCTGCATTTATAACATAAGAGCTATTTCTATGTGGAAGGAAGGTGCAAAATACAGAAGAATAAAACAATTAATAAATAAAAAATAACACTAGTCTTGCTAAATATTTGTTAGTGCAGTCAGGGCCGGAATCTTTCGACCTGCTTTTTTGCTGAGTGTATCTATTCCAGGCTGGCTGGTAAATCCTTATGCTCTAGTGAACTCTGCTACTACCACTCGTGCCACCATCTGCAGACATGCTGGGTGCTGTGGCATCAGGCTGTTTGCCAGACGGGCCGCAGGCTCCGGGCCTTTGAAGGGGTGAGAGCCATCTTTGAACAAGGCATGGAATATGCCAGCGAGACCAAAGGTTACAAATGAACAGAGAGAAACATGAACCCTCCATGGCAAGAAGAAAACAATGTTTAAAAAAAAGAAAAAGAGAAAAGAAAAGACCACAGGAACGAAGATAAAAATGCAAAGTTTAAGTGCAGCATCAAGATGTAAGAATAGATGGCATAAGATCAATTAAATTCTACGGTATGATTTACAAAAATACGACAATGGTGCCATCTATTAAAGGCACAGTGTGTAGGATTTGTTGTTTTCAGCGACATCTAGTGGTTGAGTGGTTGAATCATCCTCCCTGGTCCTCCCCCCACCCCCACCACCCGCTTCCAAAAACAAAGGAGTTGCTACGGTGTCTCTCAGGTGTCAAAAACCTTTGATAATTCCAACCGCGATGTCTACCAGCAGCTTCAGGGCTAGTGATGTTTCAAGTGGTAAGATTATGAGCTTTAATAAGTAAAATTATCCCAGCTACAATGACGGACAACAAATATTACATTTATAGTATTACAACTAAAACCTTTTTTGATGCCGCCACCGCAGTTTGTCCTTCATGAGCCTTTATAGACAAGATGGCGGCTGCCTGTAATGGCGGCCCGCGACCATGGAGATATAAACAGCTTTTTATAAGGTAAAAATAATAAAACAAGGTATTTTATTATTATTATTAGACATGTTTTTTTATTATTGTCATTAGTGATTATCTCAATTTCAGCTAAAAGAATTGACAAAATCCYACACACTGTGCCTTTAAAAGAATGAAATAGTTAAAATGTGTTTTTGTAAAAAATGTCTTTACATAGTAATGACGTGACTATGTCTGGTGTGTTCAGAAGATGTGCTACAGAGCATGAACAACTTGTGTAAGACTGATGCATAAAGATGTCTACGAAGCATCAAGGCCGAAAAAAAAAAAATAAACTTACAGTCCAAGCAAGAAAACAAGGCATGCAACTACAAAGACAAACTACAAAACTGCTTTAGTACATGTTATCTCAGCTGGAATGAAACGAAATAAAAAAAGAAAAAAAAAGGCACAAACAAATAAGGCCACCCCTGGATCTTGTACAGTGGAGCGAGCCAACGGCGACGACTTATACGATACCTAGGTTGACCGTCAGTTTGACCCTCCCGCTGTCCAGCTCGAGCCGCAGAGTATCGGCCGACTCGCGGGACGTGGCGGCCATGAGCAGACCGAAGGCCCGCTGGGACATGAAGCGGAGCGAGACGTCTTCGGCCTCGGTGTGCATGATGTTCGGCATCACCACCTTCATGTACATGCTGCCGTCGTAAGACAGAATCGATGCCTCTGTAGGGGAAGGAAAGAATGGAACACGCTGAACTGAATAAGCCTTTTCTGAAAGGAACAAAAAGGTGGGGTGGAAAACAAACATACAAGTTGAATATGCAAGCACACAAAGCACCSTAAAAGTATAAAGAAAATTTCAGACTTCATCGTCAAACAATACAAAGACATGTGTCCTGACTCTAGGAAAAAAGCTGAGCCAAAGTAATTTGTTCCTTTTCTTTAGAGTTTGAATTGAAGGGGAGAAACCAAAGTGAGAGGGAAGAAAACTTGCAGCACACTGGGAGCCTCTTGAGAAGAAAGAGACAGATTAAAAAAGGTATCCAACCATGAAATACAAAGTTTGACACCTCAGCTTAAAAAAAAAAAATACAGAGCATTTTGGCCCTTAAAAATCGTGCCGTAGTGTTAGGTGGAAAAACTTTGGACAATCGCACCAGGTGAGGAGATAAGTTGTACAAGTAAACAATGACATTTCACATCTCATTAATTRCATTTTGACATAAAAAGAAGCAGCATTTTCACATCAGTTTGAAAAGAAGAATGCTTACTCATGCAAAAGGCGATGTGTCAAGAGCAGTATTGGATTTTGCTTCGCTTTGATGTCAAAATTCAAATGATGAATTGTAAAATGAAGATGCAAGCTGTGTGAAATCACTCAGCCACTGCTAGAAAACCCCCAACATTTTTGTTATTGTTGGCTGAAGGGTTGCTGTAAGATCCGTTCTGCACAAGCTGTTGACTGAGTGAGGATAATAAAACCTTGATCACCTTCTTTCTTACTTTTAATTGACACAAACGCCTTTGCTTTTTCTGTTGTCACTTCTCGAAGGAGCTCAAATGTTAAAAACAAAACCCAACGACCTACCTACACACGTGTGCTACGTATGTTTACGGACAGATTTCCTAACCTTACTTGGCTCTGACTGTTGAAGACACAAAGCTGTGAACAATTCACTTAGAATATCACGGATACTAAAGTGCAGAACAGAGCTTTGTAAAAAAATAAATAATTAAAATAATCATTCCAAACAAGAAAAAAAAGAGGCTGGCTATGAGGCAACACAGAGCAAAAACATGGCAGAAAAACAAAATAAGACCCAAGGAAAATACATGATTTAAATAATATGTGACAGACTGCTAAAAGAGCAGGAAAAGTACCTATAGATTGGAACATGTGATTGCTGATGAGCACACACTAACACAGAGGAGCCCAAAGTGGGGCCCGCAGGCCAAATTTGGCCCACCAAGCCATTTGATTTGGCCCACCAACAGTTGCCAAAGTTACAAAGTTGTAACCTGTTATCCTATAGGCAGAAACACAGTGTTTCCATTGGTCAAATGAATATATAAAAGGGCTGTAGTGAAGGTAGTTTTCAGTCATGGTGCTGACATTTCTTTGATTTATTAGGATTAAACATGAAACATGAAACGTCAACAAGAAAWATTTAGATCAGATTTAACCCCACATGTAGATTTGCACAATTTATAAGGCCACAAAAACTCATATTTTATCAATTTATGAGCCTTTGCTACTTGAGCGTATGGCAGAGTTTCTACAAGTGYACAGACTAAAACAAAAAAGGGCCATTGCACAGCTTAATCGTTAAAAATAAAGGACTTTACTTTAAAAAGTATTTGTATTTCATGTATTATATAACTGCATTTGGCCCACAGCCATGGATAGATTTTCATTTTTGGCCCCMTCGGGGAAAATGTTTGGGCACCCCTGCACTAACAAGAATACAACTAAATAGGCAATGTCAGATTTCGTAATAACTGAAATTTAAAGTAATTTCAATGCAGGTTTATTGTAAAATGAGCTTTATTAAGTGCAGTCTGGGCTTTAGCTTGGTTAGCAATTAGCATCTCTGAGCAGCTTCTCTCACGTCAAACTGATTTACATAAAGTAACAGTTTTGTTCAAATTGGATTATTTTATTTGATGACACACCATTTTTACATCCTCCCACATCTGTAACCGAACTTCCCAGTGCCAAAAAACAAGGTTAACACTCTGTGAACTTTCATTATTTCATTTTATTTTTTGTTGTTGTTGATGTTAATTAATATACTCTATGGGGTAGGTTATGTTTAAAGCTATCAAAACAGTCTCGGGGCATATGAAATCCAAACTTCTCTTTAAACTAGAAGACAGGGACATGTCTCTTGAAGAAGACATGTCTCTTGCTATTTATTTTTTATAGCGGTAGTATCATAAAAAAACTGTTTCCATAGTAATATCAGAGCTGTGAAGAAGAAAAAGCAGATGGTTATTACTTTGCTCTAAATTAGCAATGCGCTAACACTGAACCCTTCCGTAGGTTGAAGACTGCTGCTGTGATAATCATCATTCTTTCTCAGAGTTCAGTTAAAACCACACATCTGGAAGACATGGCGCAGGTGACAACACTCCACATTTAAATTTGAAYGAACACACCCCACAATTTCTTTGAAACRCACAAAACATTGGGTCAGCGGCAGCCTCTGCATGTGTTGGTGCGTTTCTTCTGAGAGCCATCAGCAGCTCTGGGGATGTCATTTCAAATGGTAATTAAGCTGCTACTTGTCATTCAGTGTGTGGTTGTGTGTACAGTATGTGCTTTTCAGTGAACCCCACACTTTACATAATTATCAGTCCAAGTCGAGTCGAGGATAGAGGAGAAGGAGGAGGAGGAGAACTATTAGCTGAGGAGCATCGCTAATATTGTGGGTGCTGAGGGGAAGTGAACTAGAGAAATCTTCTTAACATATAAATACACACCAACACACACACACTCCTGGTTTATTTCCATGTTCTGTTTTCCTATAAGTGTTTTCATTATACACACCAGCTGCATCAGATTAAGATTTTTATTTTAACACATATTAGTAACAACTCTTTCTACCTGTGGAAGAACAGCTCATAACTGAAAGGGAGATAAACACATTTAAATCCAAAGTGAGGAATCAAACATCAAATCTTGTATGCTTTATAGACATTGATTGACATTTGAAGATTGTTAAAGTTTAGTGGCCTTTTATATGGGATGATGACCTCGCTATGCATTCCATGACTGACATAACCTAGAACACTGGTGGACAATCCTGGTCCTTGAAGACTACTACCATGCATGTTTTAATGGTTTATCTGCTCCATCACACCTGATTTGTATAAATAGGTGAGTAAAATGTTATGTAAACCTTATGGCATGAAATAGAATCCAAAAAGAAATTGTGGTGATTAACACAAGTACATGGCTAAGACTGATACCCATGGTGTACAATGCTCATCTGAGGAGCAAACAAACCAACGAGGAATATAAAAACCAAATTAAGGATCTATGTTAACCAACACCAGTGAGGGGACAACTCAGGTGTGAGTGGGCAGGGAAGGAGCAGAACTAACACTGATTGGGAAAACTGATATAAATAATCACAATCATTGACACTAGTCCAACAGAAAAATACAACGTGATAGGATTATGATCATTTGGAAAACCATCATCTTCAGTATGAAGTCAATTGTGATGCTTCTAGTTCATGCCAATAAGTTTTTACTTGCTATTTTTCATGTTCCTGAGATGTTTTCCTGCATCCTCACTTTATCTGATACACCCACTATTTGGATGACTCTCTTGGACCATGTTAGGACTCAACAATGAGTATCATGCCTACATTAGGTCATTTCCATGACATTGTCGCTGTCATAGCCTAAACATAAGGTCAGCATAGCCAGACCAGCTTCAAATAATTAATGACCAAGCTACTCAAGTACACTATCTTCATGTCATGGATATGGCCACCAGGTTCCCCACTTTTCACCTAGGACCTCAATATGCTGTCACAACCATCTTGCTACGCAAGTTTTGTTCAAAGTCTAAACCACTGTGAACTATCACACATAATGAAGATAGAAGTGCATTCTTAAATAAAGACAAGGACAAAAACTCCAACTCTCAGCCCAGTCTAAACTGCTTTAAATTTGATAGAGATGACTTTAAGAAACAAGAAGACTTTCAAAGCATCAGTGTTGTTGATCAACTGTCTTAGTGACTTGCAGCATATTGTATTTTGTTCTCCAAGTGTGCATGCTTGAATGCACAATTCTATTTTTATTTATTTATTTTTTTCTGAAAGGCTGAGATAAACTCATGTTGTTATTGACAAAAAGGTCAGCATTGATTTATCAGAGTTGTGTCCTTTTGCAAGCCATTTTCATTCCCAGAGCATCAAACACTGCAATTCTGTCAAGCAACCAGGGCAGTTAAAAGACATGCTGTAAGCAGCTTGTTGGTATTGGCACAGATTCCTCTAGAATAAAAAGTTCACAACTCTGACCATGTTTTCCATAGTGTCCAAGCTAGTGCTATTACATTTGGAATTTTGTGGGTTTTTTTTTCTTTAGACCACAGATCCATTGTGTTGTTCTGCTTCCTTGTCACACAATCAAACCCCGCACTCCTGCACAGTGCAATCGGGTTAATAACTTCTTTACTGCCGTGCAGTTCTCTGCAGTTTTATTTGTGCTTGTAAAAAAATAAATAAATAAAAATAAAACTACCACATTTGCCTCTTCACGTACAGTATCTTGTGCACTTGCATATGATTTAGTGGGAGATTTAAGCAATGTCTGGTTACCACAGGTTTATTGAACGTGTCAAAAAATCTGTAATATATCTGTGCAATTTTAAAATATGATATATACACCTCATATTTATAGTTTGTGATGATGATCGTTAAGTTTAACTGCTATTCTAACACGCTATATGCCCTTCCACTTTATTATGTGTAGTTTATAAGTACTGTATAACATTGCTACTGCTTGTTTTTCCATACAGAAGAATTGTGACAAGCAGATTCTGGTGAATGCTTTAAACTACGTTCTCACTTCAAATCTTAATGCTCAATACCAATTTTTTTTTGCCTAAATCACTTTGTTTTGCCAAAAAGTTTTTTTGTGAAATAAAACCCTTTTTTTTACTTTTTCTTTTTTTTTTTTTTACATATCAGAAATCTTTGGTT